ATAATTTAAAATTCCGTTACAATACGGAAATATATTGAAGTTTTGTGATTACAGTGCTATACAGGGTGTCCCAGGCTGAGCGTGCATTAGAAGTTTCTAGAGAACTACAACAGCTAGTTCAGAGATTTTTTGCACATCATAGTTTCATAATGTGATCTATCGATTAAAAATATTTTCAATATGGCGGCACTTCCGGAAATACCGGAAGTTGACAGCAACTTTCTTATTTTAAATGGGTGTCCCCATTTTTTATTATGTACTTAAATTCTCTGTAAAATTTTATGAATCTTAATATTAAACACTCTACAGGGTTGTTCACCACATACGACACGGAGTATTGTAGCTAAACGATGAGATTTTTACAAATTGTAAGTTTTGGGTTCGATGAAGGACTATTAGGGGTACAATTTAAAAATAATTTTACAAGATACAGAGTGTCCCAAATAAGTAAAAAATATCAAAGTTGTATTTTTTTAAATGGAACACCCTGTATATTATTACGTATTTAGTTTCTACGATTAAAATAAAAGAGTAAATTTGATTAAGGATTTATTACACTTAAACCTTACTGTTTTTGAAATATTTTCACTTTTGAAATTGCAGTAAAAATTTTAAGGCTTCATTTCTCCAAGGGTATCAAAGTTTTAATACTAAATATTTACTGAAGTTTATTTACAGATCAGTTATTATGTTGCAATAATAAAAATAATACTACCTTATACAGAGTGTCTAAAAATTTATTTTAAATAATTATTAGCTTCAAACGGCAATAACTTGTTTAATTTAAATGGAACACCCTGTATATTTTACGATAATCAGATGCACAATGTAATTGTATATCAAATTATATTATACCATTTTTTACCTATCTCTTTAAGTTTCCGTAGAAAATGCATTTTCTTGTAATTTAGAACTTATTTATCAATATACCCATGGACTATTGACATTTTAGATTATTTTTAAATATGTACCAAATTTTTAAAGAGTACAGATACTAATATTGTAGATATAATTCGTTTATTTCATTAAAAAATAAAAAAAAACTGTTTAAATATTTGTTAAAGAGGATCAATTAATATGATTCCAGCTGTGATTCCAGTATTCAAACTACATTAACTGACTGTTTGCGTTGATTAATAATAATTGCTCCAAATACTAAAAAACTGGATTTTGTATGGGCATTAGACAGTGTGATAAAAAGTAACACCTTAAAAATGATATTTCATTTTTTAATAAATGCTTATTTATAACAACAGAGACTTTAATTTGATAAGTTATTATTATATTGATTTCTGACTCAAATCCACATTTATTTATAATAATTTATTAACGAACACAATTAAGTATGTAATTAATTAGGATATGGGCGGAAATAATGGTGTTATATTTAATTAATGGTATACTCTTTTATAAAGATTTAAATAGTTTTTCTTTTTATGTTAATGGTTAGTAATATTATCGTTTTGCTAAAAACGATAATATTACTAGTCTGTACATTTTGTACATTTGTTGCTTTAAAAACAATCTAAAATGTCAATATTCCATAGATATATTGATAAAGGAGGTCTAAATTATAAGAAAATGCATTTTCTACGAAAACTTGAAGGGATAGGTAAAAAACGGTATAATACAATTTGATAGACAATTTAATTGTGCATCTGATTCTCCTAAAATATACAGGGCATTCCATTTAAATTAAAGAAGTTATTGCCGTTTGAAGCTAATAATTATTTAAAATAAATTTTTAGACACTCTGTATAAGGTAGTATTATTTTTACTATTGCAACATAATAACTGATCAATAAATAAACTTCATTAAATATTTAGTATTAAACCTTTGATACCCTTGGAGAAATGAAGCTTTAAAATTTTTACTGCAATTTCAGAAAATTGAAAATATTTCAAAAACGGTAAGGTTTAAGTATAATAAACCTTAATCAAATTTACCTTTATTTTAATCGTAGAAACTAAAAATGTAATAATATACAGGGTATTCCATTTAAAAAAATACAACTTTAATATTTTTTATTTATTTGGGACACTCTGTATCTTGTAAAAATATTTTTAAATTGTAGCTCTAATAGTCCTTCAACGAACCCCAAACTTACAATTTGTAAAAATCTCATCGTTTAGCTACAATACTCCGTGTCGTATGTGGTGAATAACCCTGTGTATCTAGCATTGACCGTTTTTGAGAAAAAAAAATATTTAAAATTTTTGTATGAAAAAACTTCCTGTCAAAAATATGTGTATAGCCTAAACCTCAAATTTAATGATTACCACAGCCACTGTGCCATAAAGAGAAAACATTTGGCTATCTATTTCAAAAATTAAATTGTTCGAATGTCATATAATAATGGCCGCAGCTGTCATAGAAATGAGCGATTAAAAATTATTATAAATAATTTTTTTGAAATGGAAACCCACTTTTTTTATTTCGCTAGTGAAAAGGCTTGATTTAGTTTTAAAGCGTATATTTTTCTTGATTTTAACCAGTAGCCTATGACTTTAAACGTCAAGTGATGTAAAATAATAGATCTGGCCATGTCATATTATAACGCTTTGTTCAAAAAGCAGAATCGTTTTCGGGCCAACTTTGCGCTGTATTTTTTTCGATCATACGGAATATTATGAATAATATCAAATTAGATATCAATAAAGAGCAAAAATACGAGATAACTTTTTATAAATACACCTTTTGAATTCTTAAGCAGGCAGTATTTATACTATAGGAAATTCGAATAATTCGTTTTCTGACAGATGGAAATAAATTGTTTGACACTTAATGTCAAAGGAAGCTAGATGAAATGAAGAAAAATAATAAAAATATACGTTTTCAAACTAAATCTTAAATAACTTAAAAACGATTTATTTTAGGTATAGGAACATGTATAGTTAACAAGTAATGAATTGAGAAACCGTTTCATTAGTGAAATAAAAAAAATGGATTTCCATTTGAAAAAAAATTATTTATGATAATTTTTTAATCACTCATTTCCTTGACAGCTACCACCATTATTATATGACATTCGAACAATTTAATTTTTGAAATAGATAGCCACATGTCTTCTCTTTATGTCACAGTGGCTGTGGTAATCATTAAATTTGACTTTTAGGCTATACAAATTTTTTTGACAGGTAGTTTTTTTCGTCCAAAAATTTTAAATATTTTTTTTTTCTCAAAAACGGTTAATGTCAGATATACAGTGTTTAACATCAATATTCATAGAATTTTACAGAGAATTTAAGTATGTATTAAAAAATGGGGGCACCTATTTAAAATAAGAAAGTTGCTGTCAACTTCCGGTATTTCCGGAAGTGCCGCCATATTGAAAATATGTTTAATCAATAGATCTCGTTGTAAAACAATGACGTGCAAAAAATCTCCGATCTAGATATTGTGGTTCTCTGTCTCGGCCACACACACCCTTTTAGGGGCGGATGCAGGAAATTATTTTAGGGGGGGGCAAAATAAAAAGTAATGTAGAATATGCTTTTTAGGACGCCATTTTTAAGCTAAAAGACTAAGATTTAACCCAATTTACAGATTTTATCAGAAGAAGAAAGGGGAACACATTCTACAACTGCTTATTTCATTTCTGTAGTTTCTGATGTTTTGTAGGTTTATTTTCTTAATTTTATCTTCCATCGTCATGTCATCATATTTAAGCTGAGCCACCACAATATTGATGAATAAATAAATTCTATATTACTTCGTTACTCTGAGGAATAGATGTTGCAAAATAAAAATCTACAAATTCCATTTTCTTTTCTGCGTGCGTGGGTCTTCACAATATGATGACGATTTTTTAATAAGACTGTAAATTCGCAAGTAGTCTTTTATTTGCACATTTGTAGGAATTTACGTATTTTCATTGTAAATCTATTTTTTAGCTTTATTAGAAATATAATCAAGTCTGATCAAAATATAATAAAATGTTTCAGAAATTAAGAAAAATTGCTAAAAAACAAACCAAAAATCAGAAAAAGTGAAACCCAATGACCTCTATCATTCTCGACCTAGTAATAACTTTCAGAAATGAAATAGAACAGAAAACCAGTTCATCATATAATTATTTTTTTATTGTTTTGCATTTACACAGAAAGAATAATTTTTTCCACATTAAAACTAACCCATTGATAATCGTACTATTGTTCGAAGCTTAATATATCCTGTTTTTTTTTTGAACAATGGAATTTACATTGTCTTATAGAAATATCTCAAATAGTATATTAATACAATAAACTATAAATTAATTAATATCATAATAAATATTTTTCTTTTGATCTGTCTTATATTTTTCTTCAAAATATTTCAGTGGGAGATCTATCGTGGGAATCCCGCATGCTCTATCACAAACCAAAGAATCTTTTATTCTTAATATTATATTTCGAAGTCGATATGGTGCTCATTATAGCGCGTGCTACCCCCATGTGAGTGTGACGTACCCATGGCCTAAAAAATAGGGGGAACTCTCTCACAACATATGCTATTTATGGTGGTACGAGGTGACATATCTTTATTTTCGATCTAAACAGCCGAAGTCATTATATCTGTCTTCGGTAATTAATATGCTAATCACTCCCTAGCTCAAAATATTACAATAAATATAATTTTATTTATTTTTTAAAATGTCAGTGTTCATGATCTGTATTTTTACTTTGTAAACTGTTCAATGAATTAGTTAGCTAGTTTTTAATTACTAAATATTTAACTGAATAAATGATATTAAACAAAAAAAAATCTTAATCTAAATTTCAAATGCTTTAATATTACAATGTTTGTATTACAACATAATATACACTACGTGGTTTGGTTGTTTATGTATTATTAAAAGAAACCATACAATTTTTTAATAGAAATCCAAATTAATTTTATTTTTAATCAAATCCTGACAAAACTTTAAAATGTTTTCAATTTAATCCTCATTCCTAATAATATCTCCCATCTCTAGTAGTGACCATAGACCATAGATTAAAATTAATCTGATGTCTATCTATCTACTTTTAGGTTATATTTTCTTGTTTTTGATCAGTTTTATATAATACATATAGAATATAGTTTAATAAGTTTATATTCCTAACTATCCACGATGTCTTTAATAGACTACATAAGTTCTTTGTCCGATAATCCATATTTTGGGGCCGGTTTCGGTCTTTTTGGCCTAGGAGCAGGGGCTGCCCTAATGAGAAAAGGCTATCAAACCTCATTAATCCTTTTCCGAAGGCATTACATGATTACCTTGGAAGTACCCTGCCGTGATAAGTCGTATCAGTGGCTATTGCAATGGATGACGACTAAAGGGGCCCGACAAACCCAACATCTCAGTGTTGAAACCAGTTTCGAACAGAAGGATAGCGGATATATCAAGACTAAATACGAGTTTATTCCTAGTATAGGCACGCATTTTTTTAAGTAAATAGACCCTTTAATATTTGAACTATTAGGTTTATTGGTGGTATTATTTGTAGGTATGGATCTACGTGGATCAGAGTTGAAAGAACGAGGGAACAGCATACTTTAGATCTTCATATGGGAGTTCCGTGGGAAACTGTACAATTAACAGCTTTTGGAAGGGATAAAGCTCTGTATTTTAGGATTCTAGAGGAAGGTGAGGTGTATTGTCTTGTTAGAATATGTAATTTTTATTTTAAAGTAAAAAAAAGTTTTTTTTGTAAATCTTTATTCTTTCATTGTTAATCTAATCTAAATTTTTGTTAGCTAGACAGATGGCTCTAAAGCAACACGAAGGAAAGACTATAATGTACACTGCAATAGGTAGTGAATGGAGACCTTTTGGACATCCCAGGAAAAAAAGACCTATATCTTCGGTTGTATTAGATTCAGGCATAAGTGAAAGAGTATTAACTGACTGTAGAGAATTTATAAACAATCCCTCATGGTATACAGAGAGGGGCATACCATATAGAAGAGGTACTAATTTAATTTCTATTTTTTTATGGTATGAATAAATAATATTTTTAGGATACTTACTATATGGACCTCCCGGTTGCGGCAAATCGTCATACATTACAGCCTTGGCAGGTGAACTGGACTTTGGAATATGTGTCCTAAACCTCTCCGAAAGAGGTTTATCAGATGACAGACTCAACCATTTACTTAGTGTGGCTCCCCAACAAAGTATTATTCTCTTAGAAGACATTGATGCTGCCTTTGTGTCTCGTGAAGATTCCGAACAACAAAAAGCTGCCTATCAAGGTTTGAATAGGGTCACTTTTAGTGGATTGTTGAACTGTTTAGATGGGGTTGCCAGTACTGAAGCTAGAATAGTTTTTATGACAACCAATTATATAGAGAGGTGAGTGTTTGTTTAAACCATTTAAAATATATTTTTATATATAATTATTTTGTATTATTATAGGTTAGATCCAGCCCTTGTGAGACCTGGTAGAGTTGACTTAAAAGAATACATCGGTTGGTGTTCAAAATCACAGATTCGACAAATGTTCTTGCGGTTTTATCCAGGTGAAAATGTGGACAAATCCTCTGAAGAGTTTGCAGAGAAAGTGTTTAGTGAAAAGAGAAACGTGAGTCCTGCTCAAATTCAAGGCTTCTTTATGTTCCATAAGCACTCTTCAGCTGAAGAAGTTATAAAAGATTATAAAACACTTTGGAAATTGTAGAATGTAAGTGTAAAATGATTTTATTTGTAAATAGATACTTTGAAAAAATAGTAAATACATGATTTTTCTCATTTAACAGTCATGTGTTCTTCATTTTATTTTTAAATAAGGTAGTATAATGGGTTATTTATGAATAAAACAATATATTTAAACCTCAACATAGAAAAAAAAATAGTAATATTACTTTTTCTTATCATTAGCTTTCTTCTTTCCTTTTTTGTCTTTTTTCTTTTTATATTTTCCAAAACCTTTTCTAACCATAATACCCCTCCACCAGGCCTGAATTTTTGTTGCAGCCCTATCTTTTCTTTCTTTCTCTTGGCGTTCCATTTCTTGTTGGATTTTATGTTCATTGTAATCATCAATGGCCTTCTGCCTAATAAAATACTAAAAGAAAAAAAACTAACGTTTAGAAATGCTTGGTAAATCCAATGTGAAATCATATTAAACAGATCATAAATTTTTATTAAAAAATATCGAACATTTCTTTTATAAAAATAATATGAAGAATATTCTATAATTTTTAACTAGATAACAAAACTAGATACTTTTAAAATAAATACATAATATACTAGAGAATAGCGTGAATTTGAGACTTTGTCTTTTGTTTAATTTTTAAAAATTTTATTTTAGACTTTCATGAAACCTTTTTTATCATTTCTGCTGTTTTCTCCTGTTGGGCTTCCTTTTTCTCCTTCAGAATCTTTATTTTTTCTTCCATTATTTGTAAATCATGTTCATATCTTATTTTCCATTGTTTAATTTCGTTTTGCAAGTCCTGAAATTGCAAAAGTAAGTGTGCCATTTTAAAATAACATTGTTTTATTATTTCTGCTATATTTCAATTCAATTAATTTGAATTCAATTTATAATTTACCATTTCAATTTCATTAAACATATTCCTAACTTCTTGATGAACTCTACTTTCTTTAGCAAAGTTTTGTTGTGTAGCTTTTATTTTGTGATTTATTTGTTCTTCTTTTTCTTTCATTGTAAAATCATTTAGTTCAGTTTCCGCTGTTTCCCAGTTTTTTATGTATGCCTCTTTTATTTTGCTCTCTTGTACAAAATCCTTCCAAAAATATATTAATATATAAAAACTTCATATCATATTTTATTATTAATTGGAAGTTTTTTAATAGTAGTGTTCTTTTTAAAACCAAGTATACAAAATATATTATATTAATGGATATAAACAGGACGAATATAGGTGGCTATATTAATTGATATATACAGGGTAAATTTTATAACTAAAGTTTGTCTAAAGAATAAGGGAAGAATTCGACAGACGGGATCCAAAAAATGACAGAAAATAAATTTTACTTTTGAATTATTATTTCCTTCTTGGAGAAACTTATTTTTTATGTTTTTTTTGCGTTATTTCCAGAGGACATACCATATTTTATACCAGGTACTTCTCAAAAGTGGCTCACCCCCTATAACTTTTTTATTTTTTCAGATGAAAAACGAGATTTGGTATGTTAGTATAGGACATAAATTAGGATTGATTGACGTATTCAATTGTTTTCGGTCACTTCCTGTTTCACCGGAAATGACTACAATTTTTGATCTAAAAAGCAAAACATACTATAACTTAAGAAATATGCAAATATAATTTATTACAATACTTACTACTAATTGAAGAGCACACGGAAAAAACAATGAAAGTACCAAAAAGGGGGGGGGGTACCTTTTGGTACCTCAATAAACGGGAATATCGATAACGGCCACATAGAAACAGGCATTTGAAAAGGGGAAAAACGATATAAAAGTCCATGCGTAATTTGAATTAAAAAAACGCTTTCCTGAACATTTATCATTTCTGGATACTCATCGTTTTTCCCATGTGCTCGTCAATTGTTATATTTACTGTTACATAAAATTTAGTAAAAACTATAAAAAACTTGTCAATAGCAGAACAAGTGGTATGCACGCATTTTTATTACCTGACGATAAAATTTGGACTTTCCAGGTAGGTAGTTAAAGTTAAATACAAACATCTAAAAAGCAAAACATGCTATATAAAAAAAATGCAAATAGCTTAAAAAATAATTTAATATGCACTTTGCCAACCGGTAAATACTGGCAAATCCAAAACATAATAGTAACGTATCTACTACTACTCTAATATATCTACTAAAATAATAAACTAATTGTTAAAAATAAATATTTTGTGCATATTTCGAGTAAAATCTTTTCTTTTTTTTAAAAAACAATTTATTCATAATTGGGTTTCCATAATTATAATATACTTAATATGTTTAATACTTTAATTATTATATACTTAATATCCTATACTATATAAAGATATACCTTCCTTCATCTTTTGGGCACCTAAAGAACGATATATTGTCTGTCATTCTACTTTCACAACCATCCACTGCACAAATATTTCCAGTAGACATTTTATTCACAATTCGAACAAAACAACTAAAACACTATTTTTGGTTCACCCTATGCGTCGGACCGAAAACAAAACTAAAATAAACTTGGAACGCTGTGTACACGTCGACCAACGGATGTAGACTGACCCAAGTCTACAAGACAGGCGGGGAGCGGCGGGAGGAATTTTGATACGGGCAAAGAGTGGGCCAACTGATATATTTATATTCTTTAAACTGTGATATAACATTATTTACCTCTATCTCATCTTTTAATTCTCCTATTTTAACCATTGTCTCATGAATCCTAGTCAAGAAATTTTCTTTTTCATTTAAGTATATGCTCTGTAACTTTATATATTCTTCTTCTTTACTTTTTGTGTTCAGTAAAAAACTGGCCTCATCCGTTTGAAGTTGTTTAAATATATTTACAAGAGCAGTAAGTTCAGTGTAAGTTCCATGTTCTTTAAGTTCTTGAAACGTTTTCTTTAGAGTTGCCTCAATAAAAGAACAGTCTTTCTGGAAATCTACCAAATCTATCTTTTCTTTCGTATCACTAAGTAAACCACTGGTTTGTATTTCATATGACGAATATAGTTCTTCTATACTTTTGTATTCTATGATAGTTTGTTCTCCTTCAGACCATCCATAGATATTCTTCAATATTGAAAGTTTATCTAGGTTCTCATCAAGTACACAAAGCAGAAGTTTTTTTGATAATTTTTCAATTGTATCATTATTTATTGGGTTCATAATTTAATAAAAAAAAATAACAAGAATTAGAAAATTTATTACGACCTGTATATTGATCAAACGTAAATACTATTTTTTTGTGTGCTGTTTGATCAATACCGTTCGTTTTGAAGTTTGGTATCTCAGATTTATTGTCATAATATACTGTATGATCAAACAAAAATGGCGTCACAGTCAGATGGTAGCCTATGCATGACCTAGTAAATGTAATTTACTATAGACATAACACACGTTTATCTAATAAAATAAAGTATTGTTGCCGGAATTTGGATGAAGAATATTGTTGATTATGTTGTTCAGATCAGTTACGATGGACTGCACTGGTGTATCAATAACGTTGTCCACTATTTTCAAAATGAGGTTATGGAAAAGTGTTGTCAATACTGTTGTCATAGCATCCAAGAGATAGTCCAGAACACCCAAACCAGTAATATCAATGTGTATATTTCTGAAATTATAAATAGAAATATTTATCTAAAATTATAGTATTTCAGTTTATTGTAACTCTTACAGATAATATTAAAAAATAGACTTTGTACTTATCCAATACTCAGTTGGATATTGAATTAGCTTTGTTTATAATCGTTTTGTCTCAGACTTGCCTTTGATGATTATTTTTTGTATTAGACAAAAAGAAGCTCATATGAGGATGGCAATGAGTAGTTAATATATTGCATAAAACTGTGATACAAGCGAAATTATTGTATATAGTGTTTCTCTTTAAAAATGCTTACCCAGAATGTTTCAGGTTGACTTTTTCAGCAAATACTTGGTAACTACTAAAGTTAAATCCAAGATTTAAATTCGCTTTAACGTCTGTGATTTTTGCTGTTACATCTCCTTTAACAGTCACCAAAAGAACTTTAGTTCTGTATTTGTATTTTATCTGAAATATATTATGCACTATAACTGTGCTATAACATTATTTTTTAGATTTTATATATTTTGTATTTTGTTAAGACTACATGGATTTAGGATAGTTCTGTTTATTCAGATAATGATTATTTACTTACCACAAGTTTTTCAAAGCTAATTGGTAGAGTTAGGTCTAATATTTTTGTATCTGAGTTGTAATATACAATAACGTTGTCATAGGTGCCTATAGTAGACAGTGATTCTAATGATCCTTCTGTTAGATGGAATGTGCTAGTGAGAACCTGAAACAGAAACAACTAAGTATAGTTATCTGGTGTAAAAATTTATGAGAATCCTTTATTCCTATTCTTCAAAATCTATTGTCATGTATTTTTTTTAATTTATTGTTTATGATTTTTACCCAATACTTACTTTTATTGATTCATCAGGAAGCGATACAGGATCTAAACCTTGTTCTAATATGAATGCTCCAACATTAGCCAAAATTTCATTTGCATAAGATGTAACATCAGCACTGTACGATTCTTTCAAACTATAACATAATATACATTACCTTACTTAAGACAAGATAATTTAATCAAAATAATATATTCGAGTATTTACCTATCAACATAATCTGTAAGAATTCCTTGTAGAAGTTTTTCTTTCAATTCAATTGGAATTACTTCATTTAAATTTACTTCAACTATATCATTTGTGAATGCTTCGAATTCACTGGTTTCTGTTCCCCAGGAAACTGAAATAAGAAAAAACAAGATTGCTATAGTTTTCATTTTTTAGGCGGAAAGATATATATTTTTTAATGAAATATGACTAGGTTTTTGTATATATGGTGTTAAAGATATCTTTGTGGTGGGGATGCAATAGATTAGATACCTAAATTATAAATATGTGAAGTGCTTGAAAGTGTTCTTTTAAGTGTTAAAATAGAAGATATTGTTATGATATACAGTAACTTTTTTAAATCAATTTCTTTGAAAATAGAGGATGTTTTTTTTGAAAAAGCTTTATTAGACCTTTCTGGAAAATTATAGTCTATCCAACCAGAGGATTGACAGTTATGTTTTCTGTAATTTTTTTGGATGTCTTTTATCGAAATCTTTTCTGACTCATTGAACATACTCTATACCGTATCTAAGTTCGAGTTTCTTGCACCACAATGTTGCATAAAGACATATTTTTTAAAATTTAACATCTGTGTTGATTTTAGGTATTGAAATACATCTAGTATTTGATAAAAGGGATGATTTTGTTGTTGATCAATTTTTTCTTCAAGAAATGACCTGCTCATATGTTTGCTTGTTGTGGATTTTAATCTCAACTTTAGTTTGCAAAAAAATTAACCTATGTTTTGAATCTTTAATCGGTTTAGTGACGTTAACTTTTCGGTTTCAAGCAACTGTTTGGTTTTTTGTTTAAATCAAATTAGAATATTTTTTATCATCACACGTGTAAAAGTCAGATATCGATCTGTTGTCTGTCTTCTTGTACCTATTTAAAATATTTCAAGTGTTTTCTATTACGTTACAGTATGGTTCGATTAATATAATCGATTATTTTATCTATGAGGTGATACTAAAACTTAATATTTAAATTATTAATATGTACCAGAAAACAATATGGAGCGAAATATGTATCTCGAATAAATGATGTAAAGATGCCAGAAAAAAATCAACGAAATTATAATAATACGACACCTACCCCAGCATCCTCCAGGCAGAAATCTACCCTATAGAAAGATGCGTAGAACTTATCTTATGTAGGAACTATAGTAAACAAGAAATATCCATCTAATCTGCCAAGCAGTGTTAAAAGCGATCAACTCAGTATCCATAAATTCGAAATGAATCTTAGAAAGGTTGAAAAAGTGGGGCTACTGGCTTTTGTCAAAAGCCTGAGACAGTAGAATGTAGAATGAGTAAGAGAAGTCCTCTTCCTTGAGTCATCACACAGTCTATAACCCATCATACCCCTGTTGTAGAGGGGACAGGTTATCCATCTCTAACAACAGTTCTTCCTCCGAGGGTACACATCCTTCCACAGTTGGAGTTTGGCCTCCCCGTGCCGCCCTTCACAGTCGAGGAGCTTGCCTCCGGCTGACGAACCCCGTGAGATGGAGGCTGGAGGATCTGTCTCCATTTTCTCCACCTCTTTAACTTGGTCTCTCCTTAGACCTGATACCGGTGGTGTCCCGTATCTATAATAGAGGATATGTCCCTCTTTCTCTATTGCCTCCTTGGATTTGAGGTCAATTCCTATTGTGAGGACCTGACCATGACCCTCCTCCCTCGAGTTGATGACTCGCCATCTCGATGTCCTTACATTGAAGTTCTGACCCTGGATAAGGCTCAGCAGGTAGGTGGTGTCTTTCCCCTTGCTCCTCGGAAGAACGACCGTGATGGCCGCCCCTTTAGGGATGTTTTCTCCTTTCACTACAACCAGTTCCGGCCTTTGCCAATTTTTAAGCTTAGGTGCGATTTCCACCAACCAATTCGCCGATTCTTGAGATACACAATCTATGAGGATCATGCCCACCCGAAAGTGTATTCCCACAAAACGCAGCTGACCTACATTTTGTAGATCGTTGTGTCGTGACCCGATCGCCACTACTTTGTCCAGTATAGCCTCTTCTAGAGACGTTTGCTGGTCGGTGGTCAGAGCAACCTCTGGGAAATCCTTTGGCAGCACTGCCATTTTCACTTGTCCAGCAATAGCGGCAAAGCTGGTGATACGTCCCTCCTTGCCTCCCGGTGTTGGACGGCTTTCCATCCTGGCTTTTTTCTGTCCCTGCCGGAGAAGAAGTGAGAGGTTCTCGCTCCCTCTCTTGCCCTTTGATGGAGATGGGTCAGTTTGTATCTTGGTTTCTTTACTCTCCCCTTTTCGGAGAAGTGTTTTCGCTTTTGCTTCCTCTGGAGCAAGTCCTTCGTGGAGCAGTCGGAGGTATCTCCGTGCTTCTGCTCCGTTAAGACCTACTCTCAGAGGATCGTCTAGCCTGCCTGGTTGAACCAGGCCGGGTAGACGAAACGGTAGCTTGTGTCGCTTATTGGGTCTAGAGGTAGGCTCCCGATCCTTGCTGGAGAAGGTGGTAGTTTGTGCGCCACTTGTGGAGGATGATCCCAAGCAAGTGTCAGCCGCCCCTCTTGTAGTTTCCTTTGGATTTGGTCCCATGGAACTTTCATTTGTAATGTTCCCAGTGTCGCTAGGGAGCTTCCCCACAGCTTCACCGGTGTTGTTTTTAATGCTAGATCTCATAGTGTTCTCACGAGTCGCTAGGGATAGTCGGTCCACTTCTACAGAGCCCCGCATGTAGAAGTAAGGGGTAAATACAATGGGGTGCCCCTTGATGCCCCAAGGTTGAGGCCAGTAATGGCTAATCCTCTATCTAGCCACGCATCCCTTTGACCTGGTCCCGCCATCGTAGGATTTAGGTTTTTGGTGAGGATGTCTCCTTTTGGTCCAGGCGGTTAAGCCAAGACCCCCCTCCTCACACCCTCTACCCGCGAGACATGACCACAGTCAGTAGAGGGTACCTGGTATGACGGACAGGGGTAGCCTCGTCCGGCATCGTTATATGTCTTGGTGCAATTCCCTGGCCACGACACTACAGCCAGAGACAAGACGATGAGTGAGATGCTTGTTAGACCAAGCCAGGCGCTAGGGGGATTCCCCCCAGCACCTGACCAAGAGTTTCCCCACCAACGACAAGGTCTTGCATCTCCTAGGGGAAGCTGAGACTGTATGATGGGTAAACAAACTCAAGAAAAGGAGACACAATAGACAATAGATCTATAAGGTGGCGGTGATTAAGTCCCTCTTCTCTTAAAATCTACATTTACAAGAGGATAGAACATATCAGTGACAGTTATAGTCTGCCACAGTATTTTTTGTATTTTCTGTCGTTTGTCGAAATATTCTCTGATTCGTCGGACAGGTTAACGGTGAAGGTATTAACGCTAGAAATAAAACTCTTATCTATCTTGAAGCAGTTATTTTTAAAATAAATACTTTAGAAAATAATCTAAATAGGTGTAAATACACCTCTCCAAATTATAACTCTTTTTCTTTACAACATCATTATGTTTGAGGTAGAGTTTGGATGTAGGATACTATTGATGACGCTGTTAATTTGCGATACCACCGATTGCACTGGATTATATACAATAGCATTGATTATTCCCAGGATTAAATTGTGGAACAAGGTGGTAAGAACACTACTAAATGCATCTATCATCCAGTCTAACAATCCCAGTCCGGTGAATTCAAAATCGATTTTTCTGGAAATAGAAAAAGATATGAGAATATTTAACCCCCAAAAAAAGTTAGTCTAATACCCAGAGCTTTTTACGTCGATCTTGTTAACAAACGCCTGGTAAGTGGAGAAGTCAAATCCAAGATGTAGGTTGATTTTGACGTCTGATATCTTGGCTTTGATGTTTCCAGATATCGTTATAAGTAGGTACGTGTATTTGTATTTGTAGGTAATCTGAAAAGTGTACAAATAAAGTCAACTTTCTAAGTTTTAAAAATATTGGCATTTTGAGATTTGCCTATTAAATTGCTCGATTGTCTGAAATTTGTTTACTTACTAATAGAGAGTCAAAACTGAGAGGCAAAGAGAGTTCCAATTTCTTAGTGTCGTTGGAGTAAGTAACGTATACATTTTCGTAGGTTCCTATTGAAGACAATTCTTGTAACCATCCGTTGGTCATGTTTATTTTCCCTAAAAGGAGCAGCTAAAAATGATATTGGCATTAATTTTAATAAATTCTTAAACGTAGATTATATTTTTAGTAGGGTTGCCACCTTTTTGCAAAGTAAAAAAAAGGACATTGGACTATGAAAAAGGAGGGGAGGAGGGGGGGGGGTGTTAAACCGTTGATTAGGAACCGCTGATTTAAAATTGCTATTTTAAAATTTGAAAAGATTGGTTAAAAATAAAGCCTAAACCTTGCCTAAACCTGTTAAGATTCGGCGTTTAAACTAAAATTTCAGATTAAATGGCGAGTCCTAAATAATGTTGCCGATTCTAAACAATAGTATATTCGTTTCTCAAATTAGTCAAAATAACGGAGTTATTTTAACGATGTACTTAAACAGCCGTTAAACGGTAGCCTACTAAAATGCCGTTAATAGATATTGTGACGTCGTTCATGTCGGCGGAAAGTAATGCCTAGCCTTAAGCATTTTGCAAGAGCACCTGTAGCTCAGTGGCTGAGGCTATCGCTTCGTAAGCGAATGGTCCGTGGTTCGAATCTCACGCCGACCAAGATTTTTTTATATTTTTTTTGCTTATAGCGTGATCTTATTGCATTGGTTTCACTCTTTTGGTTGGATTGGTTTAGTTATTTGGTGGGTTGGTTAGCGTGGTTATTTGGAGGGTATTAATTCATTGGTTAGTTGGTTATTTGGTGGGGTTGGTTGATTTTTACTAATTTATATTTGTTTTTTATATTTTTTATCAGTGTCGAGGTTAGTTGCGTTAAAATTTTGAGAACCACTGGATCTTTTCTGGATTTTCTTTCTTGTAAATTAAATTTAATACCTATGTTGCCACATTATTACAAAATTATCTTTTTTAACTAAAAACTAAAAAAAAATTTCGAATTTTCCAAATTATTTTTCGCGAAAAAAACCTCATAGGCGTGTTTCTGGGGTTGAACTATACTACCAGTTAAAATACTTGCACTTATTTCTGGGACACCCTGTATATCGAGAAATTATGGTTAGACTCCATATTACACTCGTTGTATTTGACACTTTATGTCAGTTTAATAATATATTTTCGTACTTTTGTGCTTAGGCGTAAAAGTGCTTTACTTTTTTATATTAAATAACTTTTTTATATTGCAATCACGTCGCAAAAATTAATACTTCTATGACGTTTAAAAAAACATTTATTATTATATAATATAACAAGTCTAATTAATCAAATTTGTATGAAAGACAGAGTCGCCAAAGAGAGGGCCAGGGTAGAGGCCGTGGCAGATGACCCACCACTTGTGACGATCAACACACTGAAGGAAGCCATGGGAACTATACTATCAAGGCTAAGCAACAAGAGACTTGGCAACACCGTGAGGACTGCGCTACAGCTCGAAGACTGTGGCCAGTGGTATATAGCAAAAAGACAAAACATCTACTAGAGCACAAAAAGAATCTAGTACACATAATTGTGTAGGTGTCATCACTGGAAACTTCCCCACGGGAGTAAACCTCGTGAGCTGAAAGGTTTCCAACGATGACTACTGCAGAGAACATCAGCCAACATCAGCGACATCGGCAAAGCAAAGAAAGAATGAGAGGAAGGTTTGATACAATAATACAGGGGTATCGTAATGGCCCCAATAAGGCCTCCGAAAGAGGGATCAAACAGGATCCCAAACTCCAGCAACCTAACTTAACCTAACCTGTAGGGCATTAAAAGTGAAATTTGGTATTATATCTTTTGGAAAATTGTTTTTTATTCCAAATAACTTCGGAAATAGTCGGATAAGATCTTTGTTTTTTATCTAACTTACATCAACTAGTTCATCGGATAGTTCCATAGGATCCATACCGTTTTCCACCAAGTAAAGACCAACATTATCTAAGATTTCATTTGTATAGTTTGTGACATCAGCTTCTAACGTTTCTCGCAATCTAGAATAACGATTATGAGAAATAAAACTGGCGCAGACGTATAACTGATTAGTAATTGAGGTAGGTATACTATACAGGGTGTTAGAAAAATGCATGTCCAAATTTCAGGAGGTGATTCCTGATAAGGAATATAAAAAATGTTTCTATAAACATTGGTCCGGAAATTAAAAGCTTTATAGATAAAACGTTAAGCGATCAATATTTGTGCACCTATTTCATATTTTGGTGCTTTTATGTTCAATTTGTTTTTGAGAAAATGGTATACTTTAAATTAATATAATGTAACAGAAAACAGTTACATATTAAGTTTTGGGCCACTATATGACTGATAACAACTAAGAATAAATTTTTTGATTTACAATACTTTTTTTTATATCACACAAAAACTAAATGGTATATTGTAAGAAAAGTCATTTGCGTGGTTTTTCTCAATTATTTTCGATAAGATTTGGCGCCATTGAAGTTAATTTAATTTAATTACACATAAAGTATGCTATTATTACTAAAAATAACATTGACACATTTCAAAAAAGTTGGCTACAGGGTATTGAAAATAATTATAATATAAATCTCTTTTTTTAACACACATATTACCGACTCTTAGAGGAAATGTTTTCCTATTTTTTTTGAGGAATCATCTCCTGAAATTTGGCCGTGCTTTTTTGGAACATCTTGTATATCGCTACAAAATTCAATAGATTATGCTTGTCCGAAATCAGAGTTATTAAAGTTTATAATTAAAGCATTTCCTTACCTCCAACTGCGAACAGATTTGAGAACTTCCTGTTTAATCTCACTAACAAACTGTGTATCTGCCAAATCTAATTCAACTAAACCCTTAGCTTTAATTCCAACTGGTTCATTTTCAGATCCAAAAGAAGAGGAAATACACAACAAAAATACCACAAATAGAACTCTCATTTTAAATCGTTAAGTTCACACCTTTACTGAAGTATTTTCTCTCTTTGAATAAAATTTTATTATAACGTAATAATTTAAATCTATTTTTTATCTAACGAATGTGAAAAAACTTGAATAGATAATTTAGCTGTCATTTTTAGCTCAATCTGTCTTCTTGCATCACTGTAATTGTGAATAGATATATAGTTCAAGTGTTTACATCAATTGACTGAAATTCAAGTCTTGATAAGACACACAATTAAGATTATTATCGATTTAATTAATAGTCTAAGAGCTAGCAACGTTTTCGAGAAAGTATTTTAATGAAGCTAGCTCTTTGATATATATTTTACTATGCTCTCTGGAACAGCATGCGGGCCGTCTGGCTGCCGATACAGGTTGCGTGTACTACTGCGCATCGGAGAAAGATTCTATATATTTTTTATTTAGTCCGTTCAATTCTAGTATTGAATATAAATCGAACAAGTCTCCATAGCGCAGCGCGCAGAGGAACTCGGACTCCTCGCTTCATAGGCGGAACCTGGCGGAACCTTTTTGCTCCGTGCTATGGAGACTCGCTCGGTTTATATTTAATACTAGAATTTAAAGGACTAATAAAAATATATTATCTTCTTTCAATGCACAGTAGAGAACACCATAAAATAATTAACTAGAAAGAAGTGTCAACTCTGTGTTAAATCGTGGAAACACGATACGCCACCGAAAGCCTTCGTTGTCGTCTGGAGAACTAATTTTTCAATTGACAGGTTAACATGATAAGGACATGATGGCTTAATTTTCACTTCCGTTTCCGGTTATTCAATGGCGGGCCCTCTTTCAGTTCAAATGTATTTTGTATTTTTTCTTTTCATAGATAAAACCAAAAAATAATTTATTCACATATATTTATTTGAAATATGGAACAACGTGACTAAATAAATATAAAAATATAGAGGATTGTATTGTTTCAATACCAATTAGTTAATTATATGTACTTTTAACGTAAATTAGTTAAGGTATAAGCATGACTTACAGTAATTTGTAAATAAACACACGTATTCGCAGACTTCAAGGACAGAAAAGGGACACAGGGACATGAAAACGGGAGCCTTATACAAAAACCTGAAAACAGAAAAACAAATTTTTTTATACTAAAATTAACAATGTAAAAATATCAATAGGTATAAAATATAAATATACTGTTTAAAAAAGCGTCCATTATTCCCAAAGAGACCTGGCTTATAAATCAAAAAGAAGCAAAAAGAGACTTTTAGTCGGATAACATAATCAGATTATCAGTCCGATTTATTGCATTATTGACAATAAATCGCACATATTGGAGATAAATGATGTTGGCTATAGTTAAAAATGATCTTACCTTGCTGTAAATTGTTTCCATTTTCAAAAAAATCGCCGATCAAAGAGATTATAACACCATTTTCTTGCATCTAAAAAATGTAAAAACAGTGTTTATTTACTACCTATTTTTCATATACATGGGACATACCTACTACGGCAGAAACGTCATTTTCTCCAGGATTCTTCATGTAATATATATTTTATATACTTTATTACCTTTATAATTATAAATTTCAGCCGAAATATTAAATTGAACTTCCAAAACGAAACTAAACGGAATGAATTAAAATGGCGTCGAATATTTTCGACACAATTTTCGAATTTGTTCTAGAACAAATCTGAAGTTGTCTCTGAAACTGAAATCTGTCAATTCTAAACTGTGAAGTTAGACAATAGTTAGACAAAAACAATGCTGTCCTTGTCTAGGCGGCCATACTTGTCGTGAGGAGAATGACAGGAATGACACTAATGACTGTTTCCAATTTTCCTATTTCACTGTCACCCCCCTGGAGAACACAACGTTTACCGGCAGCCAGACGGCCCGCACGCTGTTCCAGAGAGCATAGTAAAAGATAAATCCAAGAGCCAGATTTCTTAAAATACTTGTTTTCTCGACGTTGTTAGCTCTCGTACTATAATAATTATAAAACAAATTAATATCTATTACGTCTATTAAACATTCTAACTATGCCAGCGTTTGTATAAAAACTGGATTAGTATATTGTTACTAAACCTGAAAGAACCTGCGAAGTGAGACAAACAAACAATCGAGCAGAATAGAGCAATAGGAACAGAGAACCAAGGAATGGGACTATTGTGTGTTCATATTGTCTTTACATTTATTTATTTTGATGCTATCATAAGCATCTAATTACTGTGGAATTTCAGACATGTGTAAATAATTTGTTGATTAATTATAAATTATTATGAACGTCTATAGAATGATCTTTATCAAAGATATGTTAATAAATAATAAATTATTATTATGATTATGATGCCCACAGATGTTTGTAAGCTGTTACTTTTCTAATGATACTAAAATTTGAGTTAATACATTTGTTAAACTGTGGCGTCCTTTAAGTGGTTTATTAGGTAAATCTAAATGGTTTGTGATAAAACTGAAGTACCAGTGTGTTTGTTTTGCAAATAGGTTTTTACAAAATAAAGGAAGCGGCTTTTTATATTTTGTTCCGATATACTTAATAGTCTCAAGCGTCTAGTCTTGAGATTATTCATTTTTACGGCGTATGGAGTTAAAAATAAATTAAAATTTAATACAGAGTACGATTAAGAGATAGACGAATCCGAGGAAGAAACCCCTTAAAATATTTAGGTTTTGGGTATTACGCATTTAGGATATACCCTGTATAATAATGCATAATCTTAGAAAGTATGATGTATATATTGTTAGCATTGTTAGTATATAACACAGAGAACATATAATCATGTTCTCTGTGTCTATAATGCTATGAATAAGAAGACTAAAGAAGGAGCATAATGCTATCCATGTATTCATGCATGGTGGGCGGAAAAGGCACTCTAGGGTGGGGATCCTTGACAGTTCTGTTTGACGATTCATTTGACACATTTGAATTTGATTTGAAATTTTGTGGATTTGTCAGTCTTTACGGAGCTTATTTTATGTTATTTATTATTTATTCTACTACTGATAGTTGTATAAAGGTAGTAAATCTAGATGGAAATTGTGGCAGAACTTCAATTAACAGATCGCGATTTACCGAAAGAGACTCTAAAATAATTGGTTGTGTAGCGTGCGGTAGATCTCGGCAAAAATCGAGTGATATAATGGAACAACTTTTCGGTAGTAAGTGACTATAGAATATACATACGTGTAGTAAACCGATCATTTATGAAATTCACTTAAATTAACTAAATTATATATTTTTCTTGCATTTTAGCTTTTATTTATTACTTGTCAAAGATTAGATGTCAAAGAATTTAGATACGTTAATTTGACTTACCTGCTTCAGTAGCGTATCGGATGTTTGTGTTAAATACTTATTATAACTTATCTATTTTTATTAGAATTATATATTTTTATAACAATTTTAATAACTACCAACATTTATTCACAACGTAAAATAAAACAACAAATTATTGAGTCTACCCCACGTCTACCCTACATCATAGTTTTACATTTTTTAAATAAAATTAGAACGACACTGATAAACCGGAATTTAAGTCGGCCATATTTGAGGCCCATCGCGGTGTACCTAAGATTTTTGATATGCTCCTTCCTTAGTCTTCTTATTCAAAGGAGTTTATAATAATAATAAAGCACTAAATAGGTAAATTTCTGAAATTACAACTTCATTTGACAGTTATCTTTGCCTGACTTTTGCTCATAGTTTAATACAATTGTTTTAAGAAAGGAGAAATATTTAAAAGAAATCGGGCGATAACTCGTAAACGGGTATATATTCCCATAGAAACATTTTAATGTTTTTTTAATTTTCTCTAAAACGACATGGAAATTTGTAAGCATTTTTTACGAAGAATTTACGTTTTCTAAGATCAAAAATATCTAAAGTTATTCCTCTTGTAAATGTGGGTTTTAGTGCTCTTCAATAAAAATATAAAAAATTAAATCACCACAATACACCAAAACACTATTCGAATCAAACACCCAATTAGAACCCGTAGGTATATTTTAAAATAACTTCTTAATCATTCGACTTTTCAAATGGTAGAAAGTCTGTAGTCTAAATATTTTTTCGATACTGTTTGATAGAGAGTTATCCCGTGATCTAAAATTAATTTTTAAGAATGTCAATTATAAACTTGTGGGATAGTGTAATAATAAATACAAATTAATTAATTAGGTAATCCAAAGGATAAAACACCTCCACTGGAAAGATCGGGTATTTATGAAATTTCTTGTAAAGATTGTAATCAGAAATATGTTGGGCAAACTAGAAGATCAATAATAACTAGATTTAAAGAACATTTAGCTCAGATAAGATATGGTAGACCGGATAAATCTTGCGTTGCCGAACATATTGTTGATAATGAACATTGTATGTCAACACATTGTCAAATTACAGGCAATTAGATGCATATGAAAGCATTAGAATTAATAAATGTAAAGATAGTATGAACAGAGTCAACGGTCCAATTCCTTCAAGTTCAAGGTTCCTACTACTCTAGTGGCAAAATTATTTGTTACGCTCAGTTGGCTCTGACTCGGTTGGCTAGATTTTGCCACGCCCACTCGTTGCCCACTGATATATAAACGCTCAACTTGTAGATTGTACTTTAGTTTATAATCATCTGCTGATGATGCTAACATGGTTAGCGAAACGCGTTTTCAACAGTGTAAAAGTAAAAGTGTTTTGGTGTATTGTGATGATTTAGTGTTTATATTTTGCTGTGTAACACCAAAGGTCCCAACCCTCAACTGTAAGCTCTTCAATAAACTTAAATAGAATTAAAGGCTTCCCTAAAATAATTAGGGAAGCTAATAATTGACCCCATTAAAATTTACATGGGATTTCCTATGTCCCGCTCGACGATGCAAAACCCGGTATAATATCTAGAGACTTTACAGCTTACATCATATGCTTTGACTCTGACATAACCTATTTGTCAACATTAACTGTAACTTTGACACCTGCGTTTGACACCAATCAGTTTCAATTCAAAGTTTCAATTCTCTGAACAATGAATTTTGAAGATCCCGTAATACTTGAAGCTGTACCCGTACAAAACTTAAATGTCAGTAGTTCTGCGTTTGATATCCATAGAAGTGGAAAAACTCTTCAAGATAGGCTGAACGGCAACGGATTGTTCTGTTTTTGGCTGACTATGTTATTGCTGTTATCTGTTACGTCCCTTATTGTAACCGTTTTGGTGTTGGCTCTCACGAGAATAAGATGTTTTTAGACTAAAATGTGTTCGAAAATTTTATCCTGGTTTAGAGATATTTTACTATTTTAATAAAATATATATGATTGATTACTTTCTCATATTTTTATAAATTCTGTACTGACTGACTTACGACTTTTGTGTGTTTATTTACTCACTGGTATCAACCTATTCCATAATAGATTTTTTCATATCCACATTATGTTATACATGCAATGAATAACTCTTTAGATTAGAATCTTTGAATAAGAAGACTAAGGAAGGAGCATAATGCTATCCATGTATTCATGCATGGTGGGCGGAAAAAGGACTCTAGGGTGGGGATTCTTGACAGTTCTGTTTGACGATTCATTTGACACATTTGAATGAAATTTTGTGGATTTGTCAGTCTTCACGGAGCTTATTTTATGTTATTTATTACTTATTCTACTACTGATAGTTGTATAAAGGTAGTAAATCTAGATGGAAATTGTGGCAGAACTTAAATTAACAGTGACACTATCGCGATTTATCGAAAAAGACTCTAAAATAGTTGGTTGTGTAGCGTGCGGTAGATCTCGGCAAAAATCGAGTGAAATAATGGAACAACTAATGAGCCTGTTTTCGCTAGTAAGTGACTATATAATATACATACGTGTTAAACCGATCATTTATGAAATTCACTTAAATTAACTCATTATATATTTTTTGTTATTTTTCTAATGATACTAAAATTTGAGTTAATAAATTTGTCAAACTGTGGCGTCCTTTAAGTGGTTTATTAGGTAAATCTAAATGGTTTGTGGTAAAACTGAAGTACCAGTGTGTTTGTTTTGCAAATAGGTTTTTACAAAATAAAGGAAGCGGCTTTTTATATTTTGTTCCGATATGCTTAATAGTCTCAAGCATCTAGTTTTGAGATTATTCATTTTTACGGCGTATGGAGTTAAAAATAAATTAAAATTTAATACAGAGTACGATTAAGAGATAGACGAATCCGAGGAAGAAACCCCTTAAAATATTTAGGTTTTGGGTATTACGCATTTAGGATATACCCTGTATAATAATGCATAATCTTAGAAAGTATGATGTATATATTGTTAGCATTGTTAGTATATAACACAGAGAACATGTAATCATGTTCTCTGTGTCTATAATGCTTTGAATAAGAAGACTAAGGAAGGAGCATAATGCTATCCATGTATTCATGCATGGTGGGCGGAAAAGCCACCATAAAAGCTCTCTAGGGTGGGGATCCTTGACAGTTCTGTTTGACGATTCATTTGACACATTTGAATTTGATTTGAAATTTTGTGGATTTGTCAGTCTTTACGGAGCTTATTTTATGTTATTTATTATTTATTCTACTACTGATAGTTGTATAAAGGTAGTAAATCTAGATGGAAATTGTGGCAGAACTTCAATTAACAGATCGCGATTTACCGAAAGAGACTCTAAAATAATTGGTTGTGTAGCGTGCGGCAGATCTCGGCAAAAATCGAGTGAAATAATGGAACAACTTTTCGGTAGTAAGTGACTATATAATATACATACGGGTAGTAAATCGATCATTTATGAAATTCACTTAAATTAACTAAATTATATATTTTTCTTGCATTTTAGCTTTTATTTACTACTTGTCAAAGATAAGATGTCAAAGAATTTAGATACGTCAATTTGACTTACCTGCTTCAGTAGCGTATCGGATGTTTGTGTTAATAAATAATTATTAAAACTTATCTATTTTTAATATAATAATATGTTTTTATAACAATTTTAATAACTACCAACATTTATTCACAACGTAAAATAAAAAAAAATATTTGAGTCCCATCGCGGTGGACCTAAGATTTTTGATATGCTCCTTCCTTAGTCTTCTTATTCAAAGATTAGAATAGAAAGCAAAATTATTCATAATATCAAGACATAGTTTATTAACTTAGTTTTCATGTAGTTAATGAACGGGAAAATACGTAGTTTTTGAAGAAAAACTACATGTAGTTAATCAGGTAAATTACGTCTTCATTAACTACTTCCGAACCCTGCTACTAAGTATCAAAAATATCACATAATAAGGAACAAATTCACAAAATATAGATTTTTTATTTCTTTAAATTGATCAACAAAGTTTTTAGGTTATGTTTTCAATGTTATTTAAAAAACTACATTAGTTACATAAACTACACATTTACTACTCGACATTTAAAAAACTACTTGTGACATGTAGTAAATGTATTTTATTAATTACTACGTGTAGTTTAACAACTCAGATTATTAGTTGCCTATGGTAAACTTATAAAAATAACAGCTGAGAAATTTTGAATTAATTATTCTGTCAATTTTAAATGTGAAAAAGGTGTCTTTAAAGTTTTTAGAGCTATAGAGTGTATAAATACGTTCATTTTGTGTTGTGGATTGTGACAAAGTGCTTACTAAGTAAACGATTTTGTTTATTAATTATTTTAAAGCAAAATATGGAAGTACTCTAAAAAGAATGCTTGCAAAAGGTGATGCTGGGAACTGCTGTTCTTAAAAATGCATTATCCGAGTACTTAATACGATTTATACAGTTAATTTTCTATACTGCATACATATAAGGTGTTTAAATAAATAAACCAAATAATGAACGTTTTGAATTCGGCAACCAATAATGCACGTGTGTGTATTATTGGTTGCCGGATAAGGACTAATAAGCATGACAAGGACTACAATGACGTCACAAAGCGAGTAGTTTTCGCATGCACCTGGCGGACACTTTTGGCTGAATGAGCAGTCCTATTAACTGTTCTTGGGACTGCTTAGGGACAACCAGTTAACGCAACGGGTATCGGCAGCCAGACGGGCCGCATGCTGTTCCAGAGACAAAACTATAATAGTAACAATAACACTAAAGTGTCAAAACGAATGACAATGTCAGGAAATAAATAAATAAATGCGGCAACTTGACATTTTTTACAGCAGAGCTACCACCTGAATAACCAGTGCGAAATTTAAATTTCAGTTAGTCAGCCCGGCGCCGGCGCCGAAATATGTCCACGGTTGGCAGCAATGAGTTTAAAAATGGCGCCCTCGATTACGTAACTAAAACTTTAATTGATATCAAATATAGTTTGAAAGCTTCAACCTAATAAAATCACATTAAGAAAAAATAGACCTTTATTTAATATTTAGTAAATAAGTATCTACATCTATACATACCCAATTATTTTCATATTAAAACTTACAAAACTTATTCAAACAGTATGTTTATTGTGGATTTAAAATGTTGCTGATAGACTCGTTGATATTTTCGACTACCTTACCCAAGACATTGTTTATTTCACCTTCAATTACAAGCACTATCAAAGGATGTAGGATAGTAGTTGCCAGTTCAGACAGAATGTTTACTACTATTTCCACTAAACCGCCATCAAAAGTAACATCGATATGGCTAAAACATAATAAAAAATAACCATCTGTATTTCGTATTTTAAAACAAGGTTGTTTTGAGCCTAGTGAAAAGTACATTTTATGTTAGAACCTTTGGTTACTTGCACTTATATAGTTTTATTATTTTGGAAGAGGATTGGCTATTATATTAGACATATTCTTCTGAAAAACTCTTTTATTTTGTTTCTAAAAAAAGAAAAAAAATATTCTTACCCAGAGCTTTTTATTGAAGCTTTTGTATAAGTTGCTTGGTACTCGTTGAAATCAAAAGATAGCTTAAGTTCCATACTCAGATCTCGGATTTTTCCGGTCATAGTACCTTCAGGTCCTATCAACAGAACAATGACATGATAATGGTACTGAAACTATAGCAAAAGTGTCAATTATAAGCCCAAGAGAATTCGTTTTATCCATCTAATATATGTCTTACATAGATTTTCTTAAATGTTATTGGTATGGTCACGTCCAATAGCTTGGAGCTGCTGGTATACGTGACAACTACGTCATCACTCCTTTGGATGTTGGTGAGGCCTCCTAGAGTACCATTGGTCAAGGTTACGCTAGCTGTCAAAAACTGAAAATATATAGAGTTTTAATGTAAGCAAAATAGAAATGTTTGGATTTTTGAATTTACCCAATTATCGTAATCATCTAAGGCAATAGTGTCAAAGCCTTTGTTGACAGAGTATGTGTAAATATTCTCTAATAATTGATCTGCATAGTCGTTAATTACTGCTGTTATGTGGCCTTCAGTACCAACAGACAACCTACAATAAATAACAGTAAAATGTGCAATCCTGATGGTCAATTAAGGGCGCGATTTTTAAATTTCCTGCTGGGGAATGTCAAGTTACCACATTTATTTATTTATTTTCTGATACTTTGCCTGATATATTGTCATTCGTTTTGACACTTTAGTTTTGTATTACGAGTTATTGTTTTAAATCAATAGCGTTGTGATATTTTAAGCTGAAAAATGGTTACTAGCAGACCTTGCAGCCGAACATTGTTCTTTTTAGAACCTCTTTTAGTGCGAAGTGTACAAAATAGCTTAATAGCCGTAAAAAAACTTATCGCAACTTTATTAGGAAACGTTGAACGGGAAAGCTGTTGTAATGGTCCTTTATGTCTTTTAAGTGCTATTAAGAAGGTGAGTTTTGTTGATGTAAATATTATTTATAATTAATTTATTTTTGTTTTCCAAAATATTTTGATTAAAAGAAATTATGTAAAAGTGGGCAACGCTGTGCCGGTCAAGCTTAATCACGTAAGTAAAAGTTTATTTGATATGAACTATACAGGGTGCTACAAATTCGAGGTACGAGCATTGGTATCTCGGTAACCGTAATTGATACAAACATGGTTAAATGGGGCAAAGTTGCGCTTTAGGATGTTCACCAAGATGCCATAAAAAGGTTTTTAAACCAGGATTGCTCGGTTTTTTGGAAAAAACGGATTTTTTTGAAAATCAATTTTATTTTTTCCTGTCTTTACTTTATAGAAAATCAAAAAAACGAATTGCACATTCTTATAGCCACTTTATTAGAGCTATCTGTCGGCATTTTTTGATTTTCAAGTTAGCTCATAATTTGTGAGATACAAAGGGCAACTTGATACTTTTTTTATTTTATTTTTGTTTTGGGTACCGTAACAAAACTATTTAATTGTTATTTAAAATAATTTAAAACCCGGCTCTGTTTTTTTTTAATTTATTTAATCTGATTATATTCAGCACAACAATATTGATCAGCGTTAATTAACATTGAATAAGGAAAATCACACACACACAATAAAAATTGTTTTGGACATTTGAAATCAATAGTTTCAACATTAAGTTACAAAAACAATTAAGAAGTAATAAAAACAATTAAAGAGTACAAAATGCATTCGGAAGTATGAGAAGAAGATCTGTTTTAAGAGCTATACATAAGATTGAACGAAAAACAAATTAATGTGTGCATTATGAAGGATGGTAACCCTTTCGAACATGCAGAACATTAGGAACTAGTTTGTAGAAGTTGATTTATTTATAATAACTACGATTAATATTATGCATATTATTAGATTATTAGACTTAGATTTCAAATTAACAATAAAAAAGTTAAAATAATCTTTAAATTGCTGACCTGGATATTAATTATTTGAATCTTTCATTTGGCGTGATTTTCCTTATTCAATGTTAATTAGCGCTGATCAATATTGTTGTGCTGAATATAATCAGATTAAATAAATTAAAAAACCAGAGTCGGACAAATTATTTTAAATAACAGTTAAATAGTTTTGTTACTGTTAAGGTACCCAAAACAAAAAAAAATGTTACAAGTGTGGCATATCATTGTACTCAGGAGACCGAGTTCTTTCAAAGTCTGAAATAAAAAATGCAGGTCCGTATTTAAAAAAATTAAGTTGGCCTCTGTATCTCACAAATTATCAGCTAATTTAAAAATCTAAAAATACCATCAGATAACCCTAATAAAGTGGCTATGAGAATGTGCAATTATTTTTTTGATTTTCTAAAAAGTAACGACAGGAAAAAATAAAATTGATTTTCAAAAAAATCCGTTTTTTCCAAAAAACTCATCAATCCTTGAAATTTTTAAAACTTTTTTGATGGCATCTTGGTCAACATGCCAAGGGGCAACTTTGCCCCAATTTGGTCATTTTCGTATCTATTACGGTTTCCGAGATACCAATGCTCGTACCTCGAATTTGTAGCACCCTGTATAGGTACGACCGTATGATCGAAAAAAAAATGGCGTCCAGTTGACTTGGAAATGTCTATCGATGACATTCCCCATATAATTTTCCATATAAAATGACAGCGATCTTCATTAAGTTCATAGCCATCGCTGACGCCGTTTTTTTTTCGATCATACGGTATAAATACTTTAAAGATGTAAAGCTCTGACTGAAATGTTTTTTTATTATAAAATGAGTGCTACTTCAGATTGACAAATTTTGCACATGGATTCGTCCGCGAATCTCAAAAATTATGTTTCTTGAAACCTAATTCAATTACTGACATGAAACATTTTTTTAGTCTACGTTTCAAAAATTACCATCTTATTATCTTATCAATCTATGAAGTGGTTGATTTCAAATAGTAAATAAATATTTATATTGATTTCAAAAAAAGTTGCATACTTAAAAGCATTCTCTTTATCTTGAAATGGTAAAATTAATTTTTTATGTTTAAAATTAGTAATGTTTTCCAGATACTGTAGTTTCTATATTATGGTCTACATTTTTTATTACAAATATCTACCAAAAAGTTTACAATAAAATTTTTTTTTTGGATTTTGAAAAGTAAAAATTAAAAAATTATTTATACCAGTTTGGTTAAATACTTAATAAGTTATAATAACTATATTATATTATATTAAGTTATTATACATATAATTTGAAAATTTGGTTTATACCAAATATACAGGTAAAAGAAGTTTTTCATACTTCGATATTATCAATCAAATTAAAAATTATTATTAAAGGCTACATGAAAATTTACTTACTCGTCTTGTAGAGGTTCTAATTTTTGTAGTAAATTCTCCAAAATTTTCTTATTTATTTGTAACTCATAATTTAGATCTTTGTTGGCCCAACCTGAACCTGCAATAGTTAATAAAAATACAGCAACTGTAATCTTCATTTTGTTTTCCTCTTAGTGCAAACAAATAATGTCTACTACCGGTTTGTATTGAAACATTTATTTTTATATACATTTTGATTGCTATATCTGATAAAATCATTCAACTTCCATTGCCAAATGGTATCTTCATCAATTTATTGTTTCTTGTTTTTATTTAATCTGTATTATTGTTCTAATCTTTTCTTAAAATTACTTAGTTTCAAAAATGGATCAACAATAATTTAAATTAAGCGTAACAATAATAATCACTTTCTCTATTTTTCCAAATACCGAAGATAAAACAACATAATTCTTTTGTAAAGTATTAGTGTTTCTCTGTAATTTTATTTTTGGGGAAGAAAATCATCCAAATTACCTTAAATATCTATCTATAGAATACTAGTAGCAACTCCGGTAGCAATATTTCTTAAGAGCATTTTTGAAATAGACAAAAAAATTAATTGAAAGAGTAAAATTTTAAATATTTTCTATTGTCGCCATCTATCATGCTTCAGTTCAACTTCTTTCGACTCTTAAAATGATTTCTTCGAAATTATATTTTCTCAGTTACTAGGTGGCGCCGTAGGTATTTAAACTTTGACAAGTTAAGCTGACAATAACCTCACATTTTACCTCCCAATTTCGAGTTAATAAATATTTTGGTAGATAACAATTTTTACATTTTGTAATGTTTAGTAGAAAAGAACAATTACTTAAGAAGACAGGAGAGGATGGTATTGGGCGGTACGAGTACCTAAAACAACTAGTGAATGAGTTTGCTACATCAAAATCCTATGGTATTTTTCTTTTTTTTATTCTACAAATTTTTTGTGTATTTTTGAACTTGAACGATTCATATTTTTCAGATGCCCGGAAACAGATTTTGGCAAACCTAGCCAACTTTGCCTATGATCCAATTAACTACGAATATATAGCACAACTGCACATAATAGATCTTTTTCTAGCCCAGTTATCAGAAAATTCTGAAGAACTTATTCATTTTGCTCTGGCTGGTATCTGCAATATATGCTGTGGTAAGAATAAAATACAAATTTACGTTATGTAATATATAATTGTGACTTTTATAGATCCCGAAAGTAGGGAATATATCATCACACTGAACGGTATTCACTTAGTGTCGCAGTTTCTTGGTCACAAAAACGAAGATATTGCTTTGAATGCTCTAACAACGTTATTCTATCTGTTCGAATCAAGTTCAACCACGGTTCCACAAGATCTTCTACCCAAATTACTGGAATACGAAAAGTCTGAAGATGTTAGGTTCCAAAATCTAGGGAAGTTGTTTAGTGAGACATATTTTAAGTCTGTATAAATCCAGGTAGTGTGTTATTTTAAAAGTTTTGTTATATTTTATTTTACAAACCTAGGAGAGGTGTTCAGTGAGACTTATTTTAAGGTTTCGTGTTATTTTAAAGGTTTTAATATGTTTAAAAGTTTTGTTAGATCTTTTTCCCAACAGTTTAAAGTCGGACAGGAAGCTAGCTTGCGAAAAAAGATTTCTAGACAAGACATAGAGAAATTTATAGATGTCTCCGGGGACGCGAACGCGGTGCATTCGGTTGCCGGTTCACAGAGGGCGCTGGTGCACGGCGCTTATTTAAACTCGCTGGTGTCGTGCGTAATGGGGACGAAACTTCCCGGAAGCGGAACTCTAGTCGTCAAACAAACTTTGATCTTTCCAAACAAATGTTTCGTCGACGACACTGTAACCGTGACTGTTCGACTCATAGAGGTCAGGAAAATAATTAAAGTCGGGTTTAAGTGTGTAGTCGATGATGGCAACGGCTGTGGAGATGAAAAGGTCGTTTTGTATGGAGATGCGCAGTTGATTATGGACAAACCTAAATAAAACTTCGATTGTGTGTATATTGCAGGGGAGGCTGGTAGAATTTCGATGTCTTATATCTCTCTATTACACACCAAATTTAACTTAGGGCCTACTAGAGACATTATTGTATTAAGAACGATTTTAAAATTTTTGACTATTTTTTTTGTGCGCACCACCAACGCAATTTTTTTTAAATCATTTTTTTTATTTTTGACATATTTTATACAAAAAATTAAATATTGTCAGAATTATCAAAGTGACAGCGGTTTATATACAGGGTGGCCCTTATATACGTTATAAGCCTGATATCGTCGTTGTTGTCGAAGAAAAAGTTTTATACCTAATATGTTGGCATGATTTATAATGGAGCATAACCCAAAAATATTTTATTGTATACAGGGTGTCATAAAAAAAGTTGTCATAAGGTTTTAATCCATATTGACTGACTCCAAAGACATTGGACTCCAAATGACCTAAAAAAAATGGCGTTCAGTTGGCTGGGAAATTACGACCGAAGACATTTTCCTTATAAATTTACATATAAAATGATAGCGATCTTCATTTCCTAACCATTGCTGACGCCGTTTTTTTCGATTATACGGCAAACACCGCGAATATCTTCGAAACCGTTAAAAAATTAGGAACACTTTAAATACAAAAAATGTTAATTTTTTTATTCTGCATCTAAAAGAAACATAATATACAGGGTGTTGCTTTAAAAAATGAGATAGAGCATTTTAAATATTGCGATGTTTGCGGCACCATAAAAATTGTCCTGTATAAGATAATTCTCTCTAGTTTTCAACCAATTTTTGGGATATAGTGTTTTTAACCAAAGTTTTAATAAACAATATGAAATAGAATGACTACACCGCAAAAGGCTGGAAATAAAAATAGCTTACTCTATGAAGAATTTATTTTGAATCCAAATATGTACAGAAAAATGGGGGGGATGCAATTTAAAAAAAACTTAAAAGTTTCTCATAACTTTTTCTGTGACACCCTGTATACAACAAAATATTTTTAGAATATTTATATGCCCCTTTATAAACCATGCAATATCTGTATAAAACTTTTTTTCATATATTCGACAACGATGACGATATTGGATATTGGACTTCCTTGCACTAGTAGGCCACCCTGTACATTTTTTAATTTACTTCCCAAGTAAAAAAATAATAAACCGTTGTATTTTCACAGAAATTGTGATTTTTTGACGATATTTAAAATTTTTCGATCAAATGTGACAAAAAATATTTAAAAAAAAAAGAAAGTTGGCATTGATGGTGTATAAGCAAAAATGAAGAAAAATCGCTAATTTTGAAATCGGTTTTAATAATACAAAAATGTCGTCTCATAGTACCAGAGATATAGTACATCGAAATTCTACCAGCCGCCATTTGTATATTGTATACAGGGTAGCAATTTAACAAGTAGCAATCAGTACTATCTCTTAGACAAAATCCTATCTATGATCTCAAATATATATATCAGGGGATTGCAGGCGTGACCAAAATCACTTTTTTAAATAAGAATCTATCCTATGTGACACTTTGTTGAAAAGCTTGTTGCTTTTATTTTACAGTTATATAGCAAAATCTTAAGACGTACAGGTTTTGACAATTTACTGTTCAAAGGTGAGCAACATTTTTGAAAACTATTAATTTTTTGAACAAACACAAATTGGTTTCTCCTTCAAGCGCCCGATATGTATCAAATTATTGTCATGTTGTATATTATTTCTTTAGATGATGGATTTTTGTCTTAATATTTCTTTTTTTTTGTATGTACTATGAATTTATTAGTACATTTTATATTTATATACTATATTATATACGAATTATTGTTCTAATAAAAGATAAATAGTGGTTCTTATTTTTGTTTTTGCAGTAACTTTATTAATCCCAATCCTGTTGCTACATTCTGTGAAAAAAAAATGTAAATAAGAATTATTAATTCTTTTAGATTTATAAATCCCTGAAAAATCATTATTTTTTGTTGGTTAGGCGGAATATTGTGAGAAATTAAAAATTACACACCTAGCGAACTTAATTGGACTGTACTTTTCCTGCTAGGCGGCTTAGAGAGTTCGGTGGAAGAGTACTTTCCGCTTTCAGACCACCCAAAAATTCGGTGGGTTGCTACGAGTTACCGAAAAACTTAAAGTGGTTTTACGGTGGTACCCAGGCGAGTTGACACTGTCCAGTGGTCATCGGCCGAGTTAAAGAAGAAGAGGCGTGTTTCCTGGGGTACTACTATAGGCAACGTTGGCCGCGACGTGTGGGAAATCTTCGTCGCTTCAAAACTAGAAGTACCGTACGACCAAACAGAAAGTTAAGACGACTCGGTGGAAAAGATGTATTAGCTGTAAAGCAAATTAATGATTAATTACTTAGAATGCACATACAGGATGTTCCTGTAACTGAGTTTTCACTAAAAGTATTTGAGAAACTATACCGGGTGCGTCTCAAAAGCGACTCTCCCTATAATTTTTATTTTTTCAGGTAAAAAAATGAGATTTGATTTGATTTGATTGTTAGTATTAGGGAATGCAATCCCGCACCAAAATTTCAATCCCGCACCAAAATTTCAATCCCGCAAATCCGCGGGATTAAAGCAATCAATCCCGCGGATCCGCAAAATTGCGCGATTGTAAACAATAAATGCTCTTCTTTTCTCTCTCCGATTTTGGGATGCGGTTTGAACCAGGTTTTAGACGCATCTATTGTGATTAAGATGCTATGTGGTTTTCGAAAATATATTTAGCGAATTCTCGTATACAGGGTGTTTTATATAGTGTACAATATGTACTATAATGTAATATATAAATATACTATAATGTACAATATATACTATAGTTCAATATATAATATAGTGTGTAAGAATTTTTTTACCGAAAATCTACAATTTTTGAAAAATCGAAATTTTAACTATGTACGACTAATCTGTATTGAAATTAGAAAAAACAATTTGGTGTTTTTTTTTTAATTTTTTGTTTTAAGGAAAATACGAGTTATTTTCGAAAAATATGCATTTATAGTCATACATTTGGTTCTAAATGGTATAAAAGGCATAATACATTTTGCATAGGCCCACAATATACTGATATAGCGTGTATCTTAAACTAGCTGTACAGAAATTTGGACCGATGTATACAGGGTGTTCAAAAAATATATTTAATATTAAAAAACTTAAATTTTATTATAATTTATCTACTTATTTTATAAATACAAATATAATATTGTGTTAGTTATCTGCTTTTAGATACACTCTATATCAATAATTTTTAGGCATATGCAGAATGTACAAAGCTTTTTGTACCATTTAGGACCATCGTATGACTGAAAATGCATATTTTTCGAAAAAACGTCGTATTTTCCTTAAAACAAAAAAAATTAAAAACCCGATCAAATTGTTTTTTCTAATTTCAATACAGATTAGTCGTACTTAAACGGTAAAAATTTTGATTTTTAAAAATTGTAAATTTGCGGTAAAAAATATTCTTGATCAAATTTTCACACTCTTATAAAACACCCTGTATACGAGAATTCGCTAAATATATTTTCGAAAACCACATAGTATCTTAATCACAATAGATGCATCTCAAACCTGGTCCAAACCGCATCCCAAAATCTTTTTTAGTTCAAGAGATATTCAATTTTAAATTTACCCTAAAATTTTGCTTGTCCCGATAATTATGTCCGGCAGTTTATTGGACGAAATTGTCCACAAGTACCAGTTAAACGCTTTTCTTCACTTACGCACGTCAGAAAGAAATCTAACAACTAACCTGTTTGTTTCACTTATTTTTAATGGCCAAGCCGTAAGGGGAATCCCCTGATGTCAATCCGGCAGATCCTGCACGGTAAATCCCGCAAATTTGATCCCGCGGAATCACAGAGGGATCCCGCATTTGCGGGATAGCATTCCCTAGTTAGTATATGACATAAATTAGAATTGAATGACGTATTCAATTGTTTTCGTTCACTTCCTGTTTCATCGGAAATGACCACAGCTTTTGATTTTTTAATGGCATAAATTCACCTTATTGATTTTATTTTTGTTTCTTTAAATCTTTATCTTATTAAACGATTCTACAGGTTGTTTCAAACTTTCGCCAAACCCTCAGAAATAAGGTCGTGTGTAATAATAATTTATGACATATCTATGAAGATTGTAGGATCTATGAACATTACTCGTATATACATATGCTTACTATTAATTTAAATTATTTTTGTGCTTCGTCTTAATAAATTGGCTATTTCTCAAATATATCGAAAGTGTTATATGTCCAAACACCACCTAATCAATATAAGCAAGAAAGACAAATTAGGGTAAACCACAACAATAATTCCCAGTTATTTATAACAATATCTGAAAGGAATTTAATACGCAACGCCAACCTGTTCAACGATGTGATAAATTGAATGTAGCGAATTACGTCGTGTAACATTATTGTTTTATTATTTTATCACGGGCATACATTAGATAACATCGGTTAAAACATAGATTACTGTACGATAGTTATCTGAAAATACTGGTTTTAATCAATAAACACTTTAATAATATACATTTCCGTGTGATTTATGACTTAATCATAACTTGGTCTTGAATCTTCTTTTAATAGTGGTATCTAGTAGGTAGCAGATGAATTTTGTTGGTGTAAAGCATTGTGAAAATAACTAAAGAAGGAATAAAAAAAATATTATTTTTATGTGTACAGGGTGGTCGAAATTGGTCTGTTTTAACAGAGAAAATCTATTTCTTGACTAGATAGAGCAAAACCGACATAGATGTCATGGGCTCGATTTCTGAGAAACGTTTAATGGCGTAAACCGCCTGTTGATATTTTCACTGCCAACTGAGATACGGGGATTTTTTGAATTTTTTACTATTTTGAAAATTGCCCATAACTTTTTTATTTTGCGGAATAATAAAATTCTGTAAAAACGTTATTAAGGCACTTTTTTAGGCACAATCAAGTGGCGTAGTCAGTTTTTTTCTATGCTTGCTCTTTTTGTCAGAAATAATAATGAACTTAAAAAAATGCTGGCGTTTTACCCTTTCCAATGCTCTAAAGTTATGGACATCTATTTCCAAGAATCAGAGAAATATTAGGTTTTTGAGGAAGCGGACCTTGATTTTGTGTTGACCTATTTGTCTAATTATTTTTTATCGCAATTTAATAATCTATATTATTATTTATCTGCATAATTAAAGACTTTTGAAAAGGTAAATTAACATTCTATATTAGTATTAGTAATTACAATTGAAATCGATACAATAAACAAAGAATAAAACTAAAAAAAGTATTTTTTGAGTGACGAATATAGTTTTCTAAAAAATCATCAAAGATGTTCAAACTGAGCACCCCCTTGTTGAATACACAATAAAGATCTTTTGCGCACAGAGTTACAACAATTTATTAGGCGAACTGGTGTAATAAGTCCAAAAGCTTGCCTAGTAGCCTTCTGTAATTCTTCTCTCGTTCCAATGGTTCTTCCCTTATAATATATATATATAAGGCCTTTTAATTTCCCCCATAAAAAAGTCAAAAGGAGTTAGTTATCACAGGACCTAGCAGGCGAAGATATGGGATCCCTTGTTCCAATCCAATTCTCTCTAAATTCTCCATTTAATAGTGCAGTTGTAACCCTGGCTTTTTAATTGTAAATGGTAGTACTAATATAGAATGTTGATTTACATTTTCAAAAGTCTTTAATTATGCAGATAAATAATGATATAGAATATTATATTATGATAAAAAATAATTAGGCAAGTATAGGTCAACAGAAAATCAAGGCCCGCTTCGATACAAAGATAAAAAACACGTAATATTTCTCCCATTTTTAGAAATAAATACAAAAAAACTTTATATCGTTGGAAAGGGTTAAACGCCAGCATTTTTTTTAAGTTCATAGCCAACTATGATTTCCATTTAAAAAAATATATTTTTTATTATTTCTGACTAAAAAAGCAAGTATAGAAAAAAACTGACTACGCCACTGGATTGTGCTTAAAAAAGTGCCTTAAGAACGTTTTTACAGAATTTTATTATTCCCGGAAATAGAAAAGTTATGGGCAATTTCCCAAATGGTAAAAAATTCAAGAAGACTCCGTATCTCGGTTGACAGTGAAAATATGAACAGGCGGTTTAGGCCATTAAACGTTTCTCAGAAATCGAGCCCATGACATCTATGTCGGTTTTGCTCTGTCTAGTCAGGCAATAGGTTTTCTCTGTTAAAACAGACCAATT